GCACGGCTCTCGCGTGCAAGCGCCGCAGAGTGCCGCGGCGCACGGCGCTCGAGTGCGGTCGCCGCAACGGTGGGTGACGCGACGCCTCCTGCGCCGAAGACGCGAGGGAAACGCAGCGGCAACAGTTGACCCTCTGGCCATCGGCGTGTCGCCTGTGGCTGACTTTGGGTCCCATCACAGTGTACAAGTACGACAGCCACCGCCGCCGCGTCGCTGCGGCGTCGGTACAGCAAGGCCGTCACACTATGCGGAGGCGCCGACGCGCGTCAGGCGCATTGCTACCCCCGCTTCCATCTCCCGCGCGGCCGCTGCGCGCCATCGCGGCCGATCCGGTAGGCGAACGCGCTGTGCGGCCGGCCCACGCACGCCCTTGCCCCGCGCCGCAGCGGCACGTGCGCGGGGGCGGAGCGGCACAGGCGCTCGTCGCTCGTCCGTCGTGCCCGTGCGGCGCGTGCTGTGCGCAACGTCGCAAGCGGGCCTTGCTTGCACGCTCCGCCCCCTTCTTCGTTGGCTCAACCTGCAGGGGAAGGAATCAACAGACCCCCTGCGACACGGACAGCACGCTGTGGTTTTTTTACTTGCATGTACCTAACGCGAGGCTACTGCCTGGCATCTAAGCCATTAGAAATTACACCATGCCGTCGGCGGGGGATACGTTTGGTGCGGAGATGGTGCGGAGATGGTGCGGAGATGGTGCGGAGATGGTGCGAAGATCGAGATCACCCAAACGTCACTTTCACGCTTGTCCTTGCACGCTTGCCCCCGCATGCCGTATCCTACACGGCCCTCGAGAGTCCCTGACTCCGTCGTCCGACGGCGTGTCCTGTGAGCCTTGGCGCTGTCATGCGTGTGATACGTGTACGCGTATGGCTCTCATGACAGTGCAGTAAAGGAGGGTTGCCCTAATTATCGGTCACCCGCCCCAACTCGTCGGTCACCCCTAATTGTTCAAATAAATTCCCAAAAAATTAGATTCTTGTACACGTAAGGGGCCAAGTTTCAGTCCTTGGAGTATCTCCTTGCTGATTATCTCTGAAAGTCGTGGATAGATTTAAAAACAAATCTTTCCAATCGCTCTGCCAGAGCGTTTTACCATGACAAACCAATCCGCCACTTAGCAGGAATGCAAATTAAGTGCATTCAAATCCCTCCGAAAAGGCGGGCTTATGCTTTTTGACCGAATCTTGCCATCCGATCCCTCCAGGGACACCATGAACGCCCATTCACATCCCATCCAAGCCCTTCCTTCCAAGATGCAAGCCGCTCTCCCGCAATTGCCTCGAACGCGGCAAGGCAGGTTTATGCGCCGCCCTTGCAAGTTCGCCTCTGACCCTCCACCACCCACCCTTGTTGTGCTGCGCCCTCTCCACGCTCTCGCATACGCCCTGGTCCCCACCGTTCCCCATGCGCCGCCCCTGCCAGTCCCCCTTGGACCCTCCACCGCCCACCCTTATTGTTCCCCGCTCTCTCTACCTTCTTGCATACGCCCTGCTCCACACCGTTCCCCACGCGCCGCCCCTGCCAGTATCCCTTGGACCCCCCTTCCCGCCTCTTGTACATAAACGTCGGTGCCGGGCATGTCCCCAACGGGGTTTCCACTCATTCACTCGATGACGTGGCATACAATTTTTTTATATTTAACGTTGGTTTGATTGGGCCAAATTAACCTAGTGACCGATCTTTAGGCACAAAGTCGTTTTTTCAAGGCCCTTTTTGTTTCGTAAACTGCGAGAATATGGTTTTGATTTCGAGCTTTTGGAGAAAACAGAGTGATTCACCGGTCTTTCAAGAAGCGAACGACACCAAAATGTCCGTGATCGACCAATCAATTCCACTTTTGATTTTATTTTCTTCGAAAGTGACCGATAATTAGGGCAACCCTCCTTTACAGTGTACAGCACGGGGATCCCGAAGCGAAGCGCAAGCACTTCAAAATAACACTCAATAAAAACATGACTGTCGTCACTCATAATACTGTATCTCCAAGAATTGTTGCATTGTTGCCGAACTGAAAGGCAACCAATGAACTCTTGAATCTTCTACGGCACAATACAAGGGGTGCCTCATTAATGAATCCGACTTTAATGAATCCGTTCCAGTAATGAATCCGGGTCGGGGCTTGACACACCCTTTTATGACAAACCGTATGATAAGAGGTATGATAACGATATGCTTCAATAACAAGGTGAACTGACCACATTCTATTCACATCAAATACTTGTATGTTGAGGAGAGTTGATTTATTACTGCTTTTTAAAAAAATCGATGATACTTTTCTGCTTCTGTTGCGGAGCAGCAGCGTTTCTTTCCGCCGTCGCGACTCGCAAGACATCGACCAGCTTTCCTTGAATGATTTCACTGGCACCCCTCCACTTGGCCTCCTCCACATTATTCCGCATCCATTCCACGTTCGAACAAAGTGCCTTGTAAGACCTTTCCCTTGATAATTTTCTTCCTCTTCGGCTTTTTTCCTTTCCAAAACAGCGGCTTGGTGTGACCGCTAATGAATCCGTTCCAGTAATGAATCCACCTCATTGGCCCACACAGGGCGGATTCATTAACGAGGCACCACTGTACAGCACTGTAAACTTTACTGTACAGGGCGAGGCGACCACATTTGCGTTTCTATTCAGAAAAGTGTGTTCCGTATTTTCGTGACCAAACCACAAATTTGTCCGTCGCATATTTGTTTGCGTTGTCGCCAAAAGACGCTTAGCCTTGTTTTGGTTTGACCCACTGAGAACGGAGAAGATCGCCCGACCCTAAACCACAAATTGATTACAGCCCATTCTTGCCTTTGTGCTGCCTTTTGCCTCCTTCTGTCTCCCCTCCAAGACCTCCCTCCGCGATGTCGAAGCTTGAAAGATATCCACTCACTCACCAACTGCAGAATTTCACTCATTGCACCTTGACATCATTACCCGGTTACCCGGATCTTGGCACTAAAACCTTGAAAGACACCCAGCGCAGGTTACAAGTGGAAGGGGGTTTCAGGTGAAACTTCAAAGGCTTCAATACATGACTCGCTTCTTCGCCTTCATTGCTCGGTGTCACCCTGGTCTCACGCTGCCAGCAGTTGCCTGCCCGTCGAAATCGATACGCCCACTGCTCCTTTTGCCTCACGCATGCTGCGCTGGATCTCTCTCAGCTTGAAAACGCGAACATGCTCTGCTTGCATGTGGTTTACCCGGAAAGATGATGCAAGTATGACATAAATCTAAAGTTTGTACAGTATTTCAAATCTCAATTCTGCTTAACCGTTCGATCCTAATTCGTATTGTTTTACCAACCCGTATTCAGAATTCCCATAAAATTGCGGAACATATTACCTCCTCCCGCCTCCTTCGCGCGAAATAGTGCCAACCAAAGCTCCTCTCCGAGTATGCAAACCCATTTGGCGCCATCAAAAAGGGCGCCACATAGCCTAGCCACTCGGGGATGGACTGCATGATGCAGACCAAAAAAATGGAATAGAACTACATAAACCAATACCCGTGGGAAGGAGACGGCCTCCGAAATGCCTAGGTTGTGTGCTCTCGCCCCAAAACGGTCAGCTCGGGCCCGGATTTTGTCTGACAAAAGGAGGATTCGTAGACAGTGTGTAAAGATGAGGGCTGTGAGGCGTGCATTTGAGATCTGACTGATGGGCCACGTCGCTTTCTGTTGAATGCGCCAGAAATACGAATTAGGAAAATCTCTTCAAACAGGCTTCATTTGAATGTTTTTAGTTGACGTGTTGTCTGAGCGGGTGCCCATATCCAAAGTCGACTGTTGGTTCCACAGATGCGCTTTCGTTGGAAGATGGGCTCGACTCTCTAAAGTGTCCAAATCGTTAAAGAAATGGTTTTTGGTTTAAATCTATCCCGCTTAGTTTCGGAAACAGGAAAAATACGAATTAGGGACCGAACAGTTAAACTTTACCTCCCACACCCCAGTTGCCTGCGGGTACGTGTACAGCGATGTATAAGCCCTGGAAAAACTTGCTCCGAATCCTCATTTCAGGGTTTCATTGTTGCCACAGGTTTCGCCACCATCGAGAAGACCACGGTATACGCACAGCACCACGGTCTCGCTGGAAATGTTCTGGTTTTGGATACCAACTCTTGTTGGTCGGCACCTTCATTAAAAGTCTCAAAATCGATGTCGAAGTTGAAAGACGGGGGACCCTCGTGACTCGATCTTCGAGACGGGTGTGTAAAGTTTCGAACGAGAGATTTGTGTTAGTTTTTCACTACCCTGATGTCGAGACCCCCTCTCAGTAGTTTGGCCATGCTTCCTGTCCTATTTAAATACCCCACTTACCTCTGAGACCATCAATCATTCAACTCACCATCCTTCTGTCAAAGCATTCCAAGTCCAGTGACAACCGCAAGTCACCATGCTTCTTCAGTGCAGCGTATCGGTACTATGCGCTCTCCTTGCTCTCGCAGCTGCTTCTCCAGCCCCAGTATCGCCCTCTGGACCGGCGAAACTGCTGTTGTCCCACTCCCAGAGGCTACCACTAGCAACAAAATATCATCTTTCTCTCCTTAACACTCGCTTCGGACGGCATCCGGTGGGGAACATATTTAAATCTCTCCTAAAAAGGAAGATGTCGCCCGGGCCTATTGATGTTACTCGGATCCATTCTCTCGATGCGTTTCGACAGGCGCATGATACGGTAAGAAGGGCACATGAAATTGGTCCAAGGGAACGCACAATGACCAGGCCCGAAATTGCTATACTTGCGGGCCTCCTAGCGGATCATCACCACATCCCATCCAGGACCGTCTCGCAGACAAAGTTTTCTGGTCGGAACACGGCATCAATCACTCATTCCCTTCTTCAGAACTCTCGTGTGCTGAGGAGCAAGCTTGGACAGTATGTCGGGAGAAAAGCAGCTCCATTGGGAACATCAAAAGACTTTGCAGGACTTTTTCGCACATCTTTGCCAACCGCAAATCGCATGGGGCTAACTGGTGATGATTGCACGGGCTCATCAGAATGTGCGGATGGAAGGATCTGTTTAAACACACAGGCCGACACGTGCTCTGCTGGCGAGGACTGCTTGTGTGTACCTTCGGACGGATTTGAGCCATGCACGTCTAGCCCCGATTGTTTGACAGCTGGAGAAGTGTGTGTGCAGCTAGGTGACATCACAGTGTGTCTGTCGGAGGAAACTGCAAATGCCTTAGATTTTCCGATTGTGGACGCAGAGAGCTCTGATGATCCCGTAGAGACACCTGCAAGTAATAGTACAGACCCCAATGGGGGGAGTGGTGAGGGGCTTACCGGTGCGATCTGCACGAGCTCATCGGAATGTGCGGATGGAAGCATCTGTACAGACAGATTCATCGACACCTGCCCTTCTGGCGAGACTTGCATATGTGTACCTTCGGACGGAATTGAGGCATGCACGTCAAGCGCCGATTGTTCAACAGCTGGAGAAGTGTGCGTGCAGATAAGTGAGAGCACAGTGTGTGTTTCTGAAGAAACTGCAACCACGTTCTGCGATATCCTGCTGGCCTCTGGTATTGTGTTCTGCCTGGGCGTGCGCGTGGTTTGGTTTTGTGTGGTGCGGGGGAAGTGGTGAGGGGATTACCGGTGCGATCTGCACGAGCTCATCGGAATGTGCGGATGGAAGAATCTGCACAGACATAGAGAACATCGACACGTGCTCTTCTGGTGAGACTTGCATATGTGTACCTTCGGGTGGACTTGAGGCATGCACGTCTGGCGCCGATTGTTCGACAGCTGGAGAAGTGTGCGTGCAGATAGGTGAGAGCACAGTATGCCTCTCTGAAGAAACCGCAAATGCTGCAGACATTCCCATCGTGGAGACCGAGAGCTCTGGTACTCCGGAGGAGACACCCGCGAATGAGGACGCAGACTCACATGGTGGCAGTGGCGACGGGATTACTGGATCGGCTTGCACGTGCTCCTCAGGCTGTACAGAAGGAAGATTCTGCACAAACGGAAACATGATTACGTGCCCTGCTGGCGATTCGTGCATCTGCATGCCGTTAAGCGGAGTGCAAGTTTGCTCGTCCAGTGCCGAATGCTTAACAGACGGGGAAGTATGCGCGCGGGTAATCAGTCTTACGCTGTGTCTATCAGAGGAGGTTGCGATTGCCGAGGGTATTCCGATCTTGGACGGCGTCAGCTTTTAACGTTCGTCTCTGAAGGTTAAGATTTGAGAAATGGTGTTTCTACCACGAAAGAAGGAGGATCAGCACCCCACCAGTGGATGGGACCATGAATGTATTTTTTCTCTCGATTGTAGTAGAAGCTTTGTTTGGCTACATCCCAGAATTTCTAGATAGATATCCATGCATTGAATATGGTGCTTGTGTTATGGCTAGTCTAGCTAAAGAATAGATTGCGTGTTGAATCACAGTGGTTAAATCCTGTTTTGCATGCAAGTACAGAACAGTCATACCTCCGTAATCTGAGACGATTCGTAGATGCCGTCCCAATTGAATCAAGAATCTATTCCAGGAGACACTTGCACCGTGAAGAGCACTTCGATCGATCACTGACAGAAAGTAGTAGAGATGCTGTTGCTTCGTGTGCATACATGTTGACAGTTTCGTGCACAGTCCATGGAATAAAAATGTGTGCATGTAGGCACAGGCTTCCCATAATTCATGACAGTATTGGCCGTGAGCATAAATGATGCTGTCTGATCCCATTGCATAGCCTTTACGGGGCAGGGAGGAAGAAGGGAAAGACTGCAAGTGGAAGGCCGTTGAGGAACAGGGAGTGATGCTGAAGCGAAGGCAGATTTTTGCTAAGGAGGAGGGTAAAAAAGAATGAGAGTCGATGGGAAAAATGAACTGATGGACGGGGAGAACGCATGGGCGCGGAGGAAGTTCTGGTATTTCGGAGGGGTGGGTGCGGAGATTGAGTTGACTGGAATCGTGAGGCGAGGGGCGGGGCCAGTAGACGGACAACGCATCTGCCCTGATAGGTAGAGAGAGAACGGACCAGCCCCTGGGGCAGGTCCTTTTGAAGGCTTAGAGTCATTGTTTTCTGTGGAGAGAGAACTTAACTTGGGCCTTGTGATTGCAGGAACAGCGATACCCCCGATCCATTCAGGATCGGGGAGACGGCGGTGACTTTATTGTCCAAGTGGGTGGTGTGCTGTAATGCTGTGCTTTATTCTACGCGTCTTACTTGCTTGGTTCTGGACGGAACCACAGGGCTGAGAAGAATACCGTACGAGCCGCACAGTAGCGACGTGCGGTGAACTGGTGCGGTGAACTGGTGTGGCGAAGTGCCAACATTGAAAGTCACACTGGTGCGCGCATTTGCATCGTTTCTGTGATGCAAGATCGATGCCTAGGTTTACTGATGTCAAATGCCTGTCTACTTTAGAGCATCTCCACCGCGGCCCAAAATGTTTGCTATATTGTAAAATATACCGATTTTGCAAATTTGTCATCACCACCGCGCGACGATGTTGCCAAATCGCTTGGATAAAATACGATTTGCCACCTGAGCGCACGCATTTTTCTCAGAAATGCGTCCAGTTTCGTCGCAAATCGTATTTTATCGCCACTTTGCGTGGCCACGTTTTTGTGCTGCCGCGCAACAAGACTGTGAATTATGATTGAATTTGGGGACCGAAACACCATTCACGCGGGAACCGACGGAGGCATATTGGAGTGCGAGCTTTCCGGAACGCTATCCGCGCTTTCCGGGGGTCTCTGTTCTACGTACGAAAGCACGCGCAAAGCGCCGATAATGCGCTGGAGAGGGTGTATCCCGCTCTTCCCTACAGCATCAACCTTGCGGATAAACTCCGGCCGCATACTCAGCGCGGTGTACAGTCTGTCGAAAACGCGTCGCGGTATTCCAAAACGCCTGGAGAAGTCGGTGTTGTCGTAAACAGGTGGCATGCCATCGACGCCAAAGTAGTGCTTTCGTAGTTTCAGCACGGTACCATCAAAGTCGCGCTTCTTATTGGGAGATTTCCCAGGTGCTGACCCTCCATGACGTCGCGAATCGAAGTCGTTCTCGTCAGCTTCCGCCTCCAGCTTGCACATGAGCATAGTGAACTCGTCATCGTCTTCGTCCAATGGAAAGTCAAATGACTCCACGTGCGTCGCAAGAGCTGGTCCCTCTGTCACAGCACCTTGCAGCTCCTCAAGGCCGTCGAGCTCTTCCAGAGGCTCCATGGCGAGAAATAGCAATCTACCTGCGCGGTGGTGTTCCGCCGACGAATTGTGACGACGCAAATTGCGATACTTTCCCGTACAGAGTGCCCAAAGAGAATAACCAATTAGAAGTCGGACAAGTGTCCTAGAAATAGCAACATTCTGGCTGCGCGGTGGAGATGCTCTTACATTCCCCATCGTCTTCAGCACCATGCAAAATCTCAAAACGGCGGCTCGAAAAGTGAGTGAGAGCTACTTTTTCGGCATGCATCTCTCTTCCAAACTTAACAGCCATTCGAGCAGTGCTGTGCATCGATAACCTCGCTTTCCCTTTCAGACCTTCCGTGAACGTCGAGAGCCGTCGCGTCGAAAGCCGGGCGTCATGCACCAGTCGCATCGAATGAGCTGATCGGCAGTGGTCTCCCCGGCATCCACAAGAAACATGGACGGCCCCTCGCTACCTTCCGCCGCGGCATTCGGCTTCATTACCATAGCCGTTGACGACACGTTTCGCGTCCTGGTCGGAACCGCAGATGACGTGCCCAGATGAACCACTCCCAGACCATCTGGCTTCATGTTCAGGTCCCTGCGCCGATGCACAGCCATATCCATTGCCGGGGGATCTGGCATCGTAAAATCCATGGACACGCCCTCGTCATCTATTCCATCCTTCTCCTCCCCCGCATCCACCTGCGTTTCCGTCGGTACAAGCGTGGTATGCATCTCCCCTCGACCGCCTCCCTTACAAAAAGAAGGATCACTCTCAGGACTGGGGCTGCTCAACCTCATTTCCTCTTCCTCGGACGTCGGCACCCACATTTCCCTGTCATGGTCATCCTGCACAGCGGCCGCACACGTCACGGCCTTCCCGTGGCGATCCAGCGGCTGCGTCGGGGGCTCGAGGTCTTCCTGCTTGTGGCACGACTTGGTGCGAAACGTGACCTCTCTTCCGCGGAAGTCCGGCCAGTACGCGTCGTCGTCATGGCGCCAACCGTCGAAGCTGGACACTTCGGAAGGTGTGGGCGGCAAGGGCGGGATGCATGGAATTTGAGAATGTGCTCGCGCAGCATGCGCTCGCGCTCGCGGCGCTCGGAGCGGGATAGGGCGGTGCAAATTCAGCAGCAGGCTCGACGGGGGGCTTTGGCGGGGGATCGGTCGCGGCAAGACAGAGAGCGACGGCCAGGCCAGAGGGTTTTGGAAGCCGGAGGTGGCGTGCGTCCGATATTGCGGCGGCGTGCATCCCCGGGGCGGAACGGATTGGGGCAGTGGGGATGAGGGGGCGTCGGAGAGGGAGAGAGTGGCGAGCTCGTTTGCGGGGACGTGTGGCGCGGTGGCGACGGAAGAGGCTACGCCGGGCGGGAGCGGGCGCATCGGACGTGGGTACAGTTGGTGTGAGGAGGCTGTTTCTGTTGTTTTCGTGGTTGGCGGAGGCGATAGGGGGCGTAGACAGCGGCGTGAGGGTGCTGATGGTTTGCAATACATGTCTTGTTGGCGCGAACGCTTACCACTGCCATGGTGGGAAGGTTCTGTTTTGGCGAACGTGCAGATGAGTTTCTTCGGTAGCTCGCCGTTCGGACCTAATGAAGGGGGGAAGTTGGCGGAGAGTTGCGGGTGATATTCTACACAACGCGCCCCCGCTACCTACTTCGCTACCGGCACTGCCCAGCTCGCCGATTCTGCTCTGGCTGCCACTGTTGACACCGCCGCTACAGATGCTGCCTCCAATGGCATCCGCTAGCACAGTCTTCCTTCGTTCGTGTAGCCTCTCGCGGCCACGCACCGCCCTCCTCTTGACGACCTGGTCCCGCCTCAAGAGTCGCCACCCGTCCTCACTCCGCCCCAGGAGGTAAAACCCAGTCAGCCCCCCAGACTCCCTCTCTGCGATACGTCCATGTGGTACAAGTTTGGGGTAGACTTGCTGTGCATAATACCCGAAATCGGTACGAGCTGCTGAACTGTTTGTGCTAAGCAGTCATGCTAAACGCGACCTCCCGACGTCCTTCACCGGGCGTACCTCATTTCCGTCAAGCACCTGGATTACATCCATCGCCAGCCGGACCCCCGCGCGGTATCTGCGCCACCGTCACTTCCCACGACAACGTCCATGTTGGCAAACGCTAGGTCGCCACCCACTCTATCACCAGCTCGCCCTCCGCTCCGAACAGGTACACCCGGTCGAGCGCGTTCGTGCGCCTCGCCTTTGCCCTGAGCTTGAGCATGCCAAAGCAAGCAAAGTCCAGCCCCAACCACAGCCCCTCCGTCCCCAAAAACTCCTGGTGCTGTGGCGTTAGCAGCTCCCCGCGTCGCGTAGCCGCGCCCCCACGACATCCTGGCACTGACTTTGTCTCGAGTCGATGTCGCAGTCTCCCTCGCGCGCCGACTTGAAAATGTTTCACAATTTCCACCGGCCCGCTCGCCGGCGCCACGGACGAGG